AGGCCTTTGGGATGGACATGCTGGAGTTCCCAGGCCACAGATTATTTTCTGCTCTTGTATCAGCATGTGCTCAGACAGAAGTGAGAGTGATGCTCAGCACAGAGCTGGCTCCTTGGGCATCACCTCTGCAAACAGGGCARTGGAACTGCCATGAGATACAAGGTCATGCTTAGCCTGAAAACTGGGGTGGGGGAAGTTTTTGGAAAGCAGCTTCTACTAGGGACTGGCTGTTGTGGAAACTGTTGGGATTCTCAGTTTAACAGCAGTGATAAAAAAGACAAGGTGATTGATTAAATCTTTCATGGAWATAAGTACCTTTATTTTAATTTTTGCTCTTTTCAGCATGTTTGTCTTCATAAGCTTCCAAAGGCTTATACTGCTTRGTGCCTCTGACATCAGCAAGTTTCAGCTATCCCACCTAGTTTCTTCAGCCTTGTTAATCTCCACATGCTTTTCCTGAGTTACCCATCTGATGTCTTCAGAGTATTTTGGACGCATTGCRCTCAGAGCTGAGAAAAGTAAGGATTTCAGAATTGAATTGAAAAATATGTTCTGAAGAATGGAGGTTCCAGATGCTATGAGCCACTCTCGGGAAGTCTGGTAGCCATAGGACAAACCATAGAGCACAATGAAGAAGGATGAGAGCACAGTTATAACCAGAACCAGTCCCCAGGCCACACAGAAACACCACCAGCACAGCGGGGGCTCAGTGTCCCGGATCTTGAAAAGCTGCCTGATGGTAGTGATTAATATCTTACCTTTGGATACTAGGAAGCTCCCTTCCAAACCGGAATCTAACTTCTGGGACCTTTTACCCGATCGAGGGGAATTCACAGTTACGGTGTCCTCCTCTGTCTCAATTACATTTGCATCTTCTTCGCGTATTATGCAATTATTCCAGTACCTAGAATCTACCTTTGGGTACATCTTAGTCACAACAGGAGGAGGGTCCTTCTGGGAATACTTAAATAAGGCAATAATTAACATTTCCACTGGGAGGGTAAGCAAAGCACATTCAATTCCTACTGCTATTGATCTCAAATGCCTCAGGTATATTGGAGCTTCTTCACTCTTTTCAGCATTAAAGAACATAATATTAACAAGCAAGGTGAATAATATTACTGCTAAAAACGTAGACAACCTTTGGAACCTGGTGAAAGMCCCAGCAATAACAGGAGCAAAAATTGAGAGCCACAGATGGTACTCTGTCAGTCTCCTGTTAAAATTAATAAGAAAATAGTCATATTTCTGTAGAGGTGTCTCAGTGTCTATGGGAGAAAATTTCCAGTCTCGTAAGGGTTTGTCCTTGTCAAGAAAAATCCATTTTCTGCACATAAAGAACCAGACCTTCCTAGTGGACATGTCCTCAACTTCAGCTCTGCTCAAAAACCAGGTTGGAGATTTGCCCTCATTATTGAGYCTGACCTTGAAGGAACGAATATCTCCCAAGTTTTTCCTAGTAGTTACCAGAAAGCAATCAATGCCTCCCCGTTGGAAAGCTGGAGAAGGCTGGTGCCATAAACAACGGAATTTACTCCTGCCRTGCTGGCCGATGAGCTGCAGAAACACCTCTGCTTTGGTCCCAGCATTGAAGCGACTRCCTGTGTACAAAGTGACCAAAAAGATCCCTTGATCAGAGGCTTCATTGTCTGGCAGAACAACAATGTACTTGATCTCCTTCTCAAGCCTGTCCCTTCTGATGGCCCAGCAGCATAAAAGTAAGTAGAGGGCAAAAATGCAGAGCACTGTTATGAGGGTTAGTGGGTTTTTAGGTATGTCTGCTATCAGGTTTCTCCCCAGATCTACTGTGTTGGGAAGAACTACGACTTTGACTGCCAGGAACCTGATGTTGGATGGAGAAGGGACTGGCAAACTCCTTTTACGCAGCCCGGAGAGACAGATACAGTGTATCTTCTCCCAGTCGGTCAAGGGGCCAACCACACATTTGTCTTTGCTCCACTGACTTGCAGGCCCGTCCAGAAATAGGCACTGGTCATTAAARATGTATATGCCCAGCAGTTTCCGATTTGGATACCTTAGGACATAGCGTGTCTCCAAGATAATGGAGATGTTCTGAGTGCCTCCACCAGCTTCCTGCACTATGTTTGTCAGCAGGGTGCTTGGGAGACAGACAACATAGGGACCCATACTGYTACAGTCAGCCATGGCGTCCTCATCGCCTTTTGCAACTGTTGGCATGTCGTGAAAAGCAGTAAAAGAGGCCACGGGCTGAGTGTGAGTGAGATTGGTACCTACAAATATCAGCACCTTGATAGCAGCTTTTAATTTTGTGATGATCTGGAAGTATATGTTCGAGGAAGGTTTATCGATCTCAAGAGAAAATCCTCCAGTTGTGTAAGCTTCTGTTTTATCAGGTCCCATTACTAAATGAATAGTTGTAAGTCCACCTTTCCTGATAAGAAAAGCGTCTGATCTATCAGGCATGACTGGAAGTAGTTCTCCATCAGGCCTAGTCTCTGCCACTTTAAACCCCAAGACCATTGAGATGATATCTGGTGTGTAGTCTAACCAAGGGAAGGGGCTCTCATCAAACTCAACAAGGGCAGTGGAAAACACAGTATCCTGAGTCAATTCTGAACCATCTGCTTTTTTCGGTGTAGGATAAAAGCAATTCTGGCAGTCGTCTATGGCAGGAATTTGTGTAATATTCCAGGCTTCATTTTTCTTCAGAGTGATATTCCAGCGTCCTGTTTCTATTAGTGTTTCCATTTCTTCAGGGACTTTTCCCCGGAAAATTATATCTGTTACACTATCCATGATGGAGAAAACATGTGGAATTGCATTTGCACTTGCATTGTTGTAACTCAGAAGATCAGCTCTCAGGACGTTAGACAAGCATCTTACTATTCCACTGGTCTGAATTTCTGCTTCCTCAGACCAATGGGTCTTACTCCTCTGTACCTTCAAATTTCCTGTTACTTCTGTCAGTTTCCCAATGGCAAGGTCTAGTGACCTAACATTCATTTTATCAACTAATTCTGTGACTTCAGTAAGAACAGCCACTACTTGGTTGACTTCCATGATGCTGTTTGCTGAAATATTCACGGCTCCTTTAACCACGGCTTCCCGAAGCTTAGCCTGAGGGAGCTGGGGACTTGGTGTATCTCGAATATAGTTTAAGAGTGMGGCTGCCAGATAAACCAAATAACCAGCCCTAAGACGATCCCCAGTCCGCCCAGATGTCGACGCAGTTAAATGACTTGCTGAAGCCAGCAGTTCATAAAACACAACTGAAAGGGATTGAGTTTTATGTGGCTTCCTTACGTAGACATGTAAATCCACCTGAGTAAATGACCCGAAGGCATCACGGACTTGAACGTAGAGTTTCAAAGTTCTGCGAGGCCTGCGAGAGGACCCTCCAATTGGGAGAAAAGACGGAGGAGTTTTAGGCTGAGAACCAAAGTACAGAATTGTGCCAAATGTGTTTTGCACCACAGAAGTTATTGAGGTAGTATGGGGTACTCTGGAAGCTAGTATCACTTTGTATGTCAGAGGTAAATGGTTGTCAGAAAATCCTCCACATTTAACAACAAATTTTGTCTCAAAGGCTACACCGCGGCGTGGCCTAATGTAACACCTCCCACGCCGAGGYGCATTATTTATCATAAAGGATTTTCTGTCAGATGTGGTCCTACCATCCCAGGTAGTTACTCTTAAGTGAAGTGCATAGGGTCGATATGTAGGCTTTGTGAAAGTCAGAGCATTTATAGATACGTAAGCCCCAGTCCTCCCCGTTGATGTTTTGGAGTCCCAATCAAAATTAATTTCTTTAGAGGTGTCTGAATAGAGGGACCAGTAGTATAGTGGCTTGCTTTTTGGTTTACAGTTTGAGCATTTTCCAGATATGGCAAATCTCTCTGTTGGAATTACAGATCTACCACAGTTTTCAAGGCATTTCACATCCAGAATGAGTGGGGGGCCAGGATTCACCTCTACAATTTGATCAGCATGACTCACCCTATGGCCCTTTTGRATCACCAGGCGAAAGTAATATAAGGTGCTTCCTGGGAGGGATTCTGCTGGTATCGTTTGAACAGGACCTGAGTGTTTTATCCATCTCAAATCCTTCTGGAGTGGATGGCATCTGTTTCTCGGGGTAAATTTCATGGTGTTATAGTCTGCGAAGTCTCTAGTGCAGTACCAAGTAAATGTCAATGGTCCCCCCTGTGGATCAGGATCAGCGGATTCAGAACCATCAAGAGTCCAGCTCTCAGCAAAATCCACTGTGCGGACCGGGCCTCCTGAAATATTTGCTACTAAATCAGCTCTCTCAATCTGAACATAAATGTAATCATAGGCCTTGAGAACTGTTGAGGTCATAATYGGGACTACCTCAACACTGAAATAAAACAGATACAACCCAAAATCTAAAGTATTACTGGGAACAGTTAAATGTATCATATCTGTGCCATACAGTGCAGAACTGTCTATTGGATTTGACCAGTCTGGCTCAGTTYTTGTGTCCTTAACACGGTAGACTTTCCAAAGTGGTTTGATAGATATGCCAATGTGGCATTCTGTGTCCAACCTGACAAAGAGGTAAAAAGATAATGCCTTTTTCTTGTACAAAATATTGGTTCTGCGACCAGGTCTCTGAATCCAACACCTGCGTATCTTACATTCTCTTCTCTCACAAACCACTGGTGTTTCTACGGTTTTTGCAGTATGGTTGTTGATCCTGAAGCTTAAAAGAGCTGGTGTCGGTGCACTGCTGGTGCAATTCACTTTTGCCACAAACCCTGTGTATTTCTCTGCATCAAAGGGTAAAGCAGAGCGACGGACAAAACGCCTCGCGTTTTTTATGTGGTTGTTGTATGTGTATGTGCTACTCTGGACAATGTGGTCTTTTTGTGTGTCAAAAAGCTGCAGATAGAAGGTCCACTTGCACTGTAGCAGTGGATGTTGCGCAGGGATAAACCATACTAAATAACTAAAGTTCTGCAGCAAAGAAAGACGGCCACTGCTGAAAATGTGGATGTCAAGGTCTCTTTCTGCCAGAGACCTAATCAAAGCCCTCTTCTGATTCATATAAAGGTAYATATTGAACTTGTACCACTGTAAGGCCACAAACTCTATGGTGAGYAAGTAGGAGAGCTCCTTGTATTGGTAGAACACAGTGCATGTGTTAGGGTGATCTGTGGAAATAGTGTTGTTTTCTTTAGAAGTATGAAATGTTCCCTGGTTGTACCTGAAAATGTACGTGCTTCTGTTGGTCTTCTCTGGGCTAAGGTTGACATGGATGGGAATTTCTTTGCCAGCAGTTAAGCTCAGGGTACCATTGAGCAAGTGCACTTCACCCATCAATTTCTCAAACCTCTTTCCATCAACATGGAAGTAAATGCTGGCCACCACTATCTCATCCAGGTTGTGAGGTGTAGAAATGGCACAGAAGTTGCTCGGCAGTGTAAATGAACTGTAGGAACGGAGCCAACTTCCTGCAGCCTGTGTGTCCACCAGTCTGTAGGCAAGTGTACTCAGGGTAAGGGGCTGAAGCCACCAGGATAAGCTGAGGGGCTGCTGAAGAACACTAAGGAGCTTGGAGCTGATACTGAGGACATGCAGCAAGTCAGGCTCCACCTTGAGAGACAGGCTGAGGTTTACGTGAGGCATCTGCTCGATCCTGACCAAAGCAAGGTGGATCCCRGGGCGCTCGTAGCACACAGTCACGCGGTAGCTGTAGTAGGTGGCACAGGTGTGTTGCAACTCAACTGTTGGGTAGATGGCAGGCGATGGTGTGTCCTGGTACTCGCTGCTGGGAAGGAGAAGGGTCGAGGGCACGCCTCCCTCGCTGCTGAAGCGGTACTGCCAGCCGGCACTCATGAGGCGCGCACACCAGCCCAGCTCCACCTTCTGCAACATGCGGATAAAGTGTGTCTGCGGCCAAAGCACAAACAGCCGCATATCCTGCCCCAAGATCTCGACGCTGACGTTGTGGTGAAAGCACTCGGGAGCAGCGCAGGAGGCAGACGAGCACTGCACTGTAAGAAGCCTGGAGGACCCGAGTGAGGGAGCTTGTCCTGTCTGCAGCACCACCTGGCCTGACCARCGTGAGATGTTCCTCACAGAAGCCGAGTTCAGGTACCAGAGGCAGCAAGGTGGGGATGGTGGCTGCCCCTCTTCCCCCTCCACCTCCGGCCCCGCTCCCGGGGCGGGCTGGTAATGCAGGGTCACGGTACTTTCCCAAAGGCACGACACCCTGTGCTCGTTGTCCTGTCGCTGGGAGACTTGGCCGTGAGGGCCCGGGCAGCTGACCCGCAGGGGTGACGGCTGGAGGCGGACAGGGGACGCCGCCGAGTCCCGGCGGCAGCAGGCGAGCAGCTGCAGGAGGAGAAGKAGGAGCGCGGCCATCGAGGCCAGAGGGGACGGGGCGGAGGGCGAGCGGGCTCCCGGGCCCTGCTCGTTCGGGTGGCCCAACGGCTGGGACAGCGACCCCAGGGCACCGGAGCCCAGTCCGGCGGGCAGCCGGTGAGGACGCTATTTAACTTCGGACACGCAGGCCGGAGGTGGGTCCGTAARAAGGAACAAAGATCAGCGGGACCAATAATGGCCACCGAACTCGCGCGGCGGTGCCTCAGCAGCGGCGCGAGCACAGCACGCGCACCCGACACCCACCGCCCGCCGCTCGCGCCGGCCCCGCCCCCTTGGCCCCGCCCCCGCGCGCGGTGGGGCCGCGGCGCTGCGGAGGGAGAATGGCTGCGCTGAGGGACTGCAAGGTGAGGGCAGGGCTGGGGGGCTGCGAGGGGCGCCCGGGGCACCGCACCGCTCGGCTCGGCTCGCCTCGGCTCGTCTCGGCTCTGCCCTGCCCGTGCCCTGCGCCTGCCGGGCGCCCGGGGACAGCGGGTGCCCTCCGTGGGGGTCCCGGGGGCTGCCGGCGGGCTTTGGGCTGGCTGTGGGCTGTGGGCTGTGGGCTGTGGGTGGCGGGCTGTGGGCTGTGGACTGTGGGCTGTGGGCTGTGGGCTGTGGCGGGCGGGGAGCTGACTCGGGCGCGCTGTGGCTGGAGCTCACCCTCATGCACTCGGGTGGGTTTCGGAGGAGGAGAGCTGCTGTTGGGATCTGGAAATGGGGAAAGGTCGCTGCACCCATCCCTTCTGCCGGGGAAGCATACCCATGTCTGAGCATCTCTGGGTCTCTTCCCAGCGCAAGGGTCCCAAGGCACCCACCTGCCCTTTCCGTGGGCCTCAGAAGTGGGTCAGGCCTTCGATTKACTCTAAACTAGCCTCGGGTCAAAAGGTCTGATCTGTAGCAGCTGGTTACTCATTAGTCATTTGCATGCTCTCTTTCTGATAAATTCCTTTTATGGTTGTGTTTTGGTTAATTAGGCAGTGGCAGGTTAAGACAAAATCTTGAAGGTTGCGTGTGACAGGTGTGTGACAGAGCTCTGAGGATCTGTCATGCGAGGAATACCAGAGGTGCCAACGGCAGCCCACAGAGAGCACAATTCTCAGAGTTAGCTAAGATTCTAGCAGAGAAAAAATACAAATAAACAGTCACCAGATCTCAAGACTGAACTCTAAGATTAGAGCAGGGGAAAGGGCAAGGGATTGGTCTCATCRAGAAGCAGTAAGAAGAGCAAAGGCCATGACTCTTAATACGAGAGGCACCACAGAGAAGTCTCTTCAGGAGTTAGAGAGGAAGTTTATGGGAGATCAGTGTAAGAGAACCCAAAGGCAGCCTCTGTGGGAAGGGGAACTGACAACTGCCTTACAGACCCTTGAAGCTCGTTTTTGATGACTGGTGCTGAGGGTGTCTCTTGGCCTTTGCAGAGCACCGTGGAAAGTAGCCTGTAAGTAGCAAGCCTAACCTTGCTACCTGCTTGACTTTTCTCTTTATTCTTTTTCTGGATGATAAATGACATAGAGAATAAAAATTTTCAGCTCCCCTAAGGTTGCTGAATAGAATTTAAAGACTAATAGAAAAAAAAAAAGATAAAAGGATTTAAAGGAATACACCTTTTAATGTTGTAGCTAAATATAGCTGGAACCAATGGAGAAACAGATAAGAAGGACTGCGGTGGTTTTTTAGCAAGTTATGTAGCAAGAAGCAAAAGCACATGCCCAAAGAAAAAGTTTAAAGAAAGRTCACCTTAAATATTGCAGCATTCAGTGAATATGAGTGCCAGGGACCCCTTTTTATAACTCTGCAGGACCATAAAAGAATTTCCAGTAGGTAGCAGATGCATGCAAATTCGTTTTAGGAATTAGTTCTRTATATTTGGTAAGAAACATGTTTTAATGAATATATGTGATTATGATGGATAAAGACCTTGTTGTAAGGTCTCACCACACCCACGGAATGAGGAGAGATCCTCTGTGTGTCCTGTGCAGATAAAGAATACCTGCTGCCTAGTGCTTCAAATTGTGTTAGGAAGTTTATTCCAGTCAGATTCGGTATCATGGATGTAGTATGAATTGTAAAGAAAACGTGTGATTTTAGATTCAGGTCCAGTCTTTCAGGCATGTAATTTGAAGAGTCAAGTACTTCAGCTGCTGGAATGTGAGCCTTTAATCCAATCACAGTGGGAAAGCTTTAGGATATATTAACAAAGATGTCTTTGCCTGGTTATTTAAAATTTTTGATACAGTATTATGGCTTGGAAATACGTTAAAATGTAAAACGAGAGGAGCTGAATTCTTGCAGCATCAGGAAGGACTAAGCTCCCATTAGGAGAAGTCTGAATTGTCTGGCCCTAGGTCTGTTTTTATAATATATGTCTATCCTCTGTGTTGTGTGTACTGCATTAAAGTAATGCTGAAGTGATTCAGGCAGCTTCTGAAATGAACTCTGCTCATTTTCCAGCAGCCATCCAGGAGATGTTGTGCCTCAGTCATGTTACATTGCTAGAAACTAGGTTCTGTTTTGCTTTTTAGCTTTATCCATTGCTGATGTTCTTATTTTTGTCAGGCTTGTTTATAAATCTGCAATCCAAATTTTCAGTTGGTTAACTCCAGAGACTTAGTGGATTTGCTSTGCCAGGCTGTTTGGCCTGCAAGTTGATTCAGAAGAACATTATTATTTATAGAAGATGATAGATTTATAGTTTATAGATGAACAGGGTTATTTTAACATGTCTCTACATCACATGAGGTATGCCTGCAGCAGAGGGATCACCAACAGCTGTAATGAACTCAGAATGGCTCTCTCATGAGATGGGCAACCCATYGAGATGTTCTGTTACACTTGGTAATTTCTGGCTTCTTTAGTCTCATTCCTGGCTYCAGCTAATTGAGCCTTAGATGTCACTACAACTGAACAAAAGATTTGTGTTTGCCTCACRCTGTTCTTCCAACTTTTCTTTTTAAAATTGCATAGCTGATGAAAATATTAGAACAGCATCCATTTGAACAACTGTCAGTGTAGCCTGAAACAYGAGGGGGTAAAATGAGCACATTTGTGTTTGTTGTGCAGGCCTGGGAGGATGCTGGACTTGCCCTGTCCACAACGAGCAATGAAGCCTGTAAGCTCTTCGATGCTGTGCTGACGCAGGTATGACCRCAAACCATAAAAAAAAGTGATGTGAAGGGACTTGTGCATGAAATGGTCTTTGCTGTTGTTGATATTTAAATTTCCTATCAGCTGGGAAAGCCTCAAAATCAGGTTGCCACAGGAGTTCAGCCTTTAGCTGGCAGCAGGAAACCCTTTTAGCAGAGGGCTGTGCCAGATGCTGCAGCTCTGATGAAAACCTCAGCCAGTGTGCTAATTCCACTTGGTACTGGAGTCAAATCAGCTGGGTGTCATAAACCACTTAGAAATCCAGCGTTAATTGGTTCTGCTGGTGGCTGAACTACATTAAACCCCATTTTTTCCATTTTTCTGTTGCACTATACTTACCTGAATGCAATGTTTATATTTTAGTTGTTTGCGTAGCTTACTTTAATTTTAAATGTCTGTGAGTACAAAAAGAAGTCCAGTATCATAAAGAATTTCTCACTCTCTCTTACAGTATGCCACTTGGACCAATAATGAGAACCTTGGAGGTATTGAGGGATGTCTCTCCAAGTTAAAAKCAGCCGATCCAAACTTTAGTGAGTATTATCTTTGATTTTGAGCATGGAAAGTGCTGGGTTCCTGCCTGTTGTCGTGGTTTCTAACTGACTTTGTTTGTGCAAGGGCATAGTGATAATTTATTGATTTCTGTAAAACTGCCTCAAAATCTAGAGCAGGCAGAATGCTTTTTTGTGTTTTTCTTTTCATTTCACATTGTATTTAAGAAGCTGTCATGACAAAATTTTGAGAACTGTAGACTTGGGAGACTTCCTGGACCCCTGTGGCCACAAGTCAGTTTTGTTAAAAATATTCAGCTCCCCTGGTATCATGTGGAGCTGAAGGGACTGCTGTGAGCTCAGCTGGTGCTGTGCTGTTTCCTGCAGCAATGGGACACGTCATTGCCAATGGCTTGGAGCTGATTGGCACTGGAAGGACCGTRCGACTCGACGAGGAGCTGGACAGTGCCATGAGAGCCATGGTGGCACTTTCCAAGTCACAACCACTGACTGAGCGGGAGAGGCTTCACGTGTCAGCCTTGGACGTGTTTGCCAAGGGGTGAGTCCTCTGTCACCCTGCTTGAGGGACTGAAGGGTTCTCTTTGCCTCCCTGCAGGCAGAAGTGAAGGCTGGAAGTAGTGGTGTGTGATGTTAGCTGGCATCTAGCAAAGGTTTGGGGTGAGATGTCACAGATTGTCCCTGAATTTCTCTCTCCAAGTGCCATGTCTAGCTGGTGAGCAGCACTGTAGGAGGTAAAGTGCTCCATTGGCATAGATTCCTAGCATTCATCACTCCACGTTTTAAATCTGCCACAGATCAGTCAGTGCTGTGGTTTAGAACTTGGAAATTAAGTATTTGGCTACAGAAGGACCCAGACTCAGATGCTCAAAAGGAAAATTAGGACTTCTCTCTTTTGTCTCCCTACGTCAAAAYCTATTAACCCTATAAAAGAGGGAGATGAGAGTGTCACAAGTGCTGTACAGGCTCACTGCTTCATTCCATATGATAAATCTATATGAACTGCAGAACATAGGGGCTATGATTCACTTTCATTTGTTTGCCAAACAAGTGGGAGAGCATGGATTTGCCTCATCTCAGCAAAAGAAAACAGGAAGCTACTGAAGCTCTGCCACTGGGTTTGATTCCCACAAGAGGAGAGGAAAGGTGTCTTTGCACATACGAAGTTCCACTCATTATGGTGGATTCCTGTAGGAACTATTCAGCCCTGTAGGAAATTTTTTAGATTTATGGTTTAAGCCTGTTTCATTTTCCTTGTATGTTAAAGTGATTTGGTGTAACCCAAGAGCGTTTCTTTCGTAAGATTTCTCAGAGGGTGCCAAATGAAGATTATACCATTATTAGTTTAGAAAAGACTAAAAATTTCCTTCAATGAAAAAAGTAAGTCATTTGATGCTGWATTTTCTATTTTTCAGCATAGTGTGAGTTCAGGACTAACAGTAGGGGCAGGTATATGTGTCTTCTTTTAGCAATGGAAATAATTTTTTATTTCTAGCCAACTTCCAAAAGCTTGTGWTCTATGGGAGCAGATTCTGCAGAGCCACCCAACTGACCTGCTGGCCCTCAAATTTTCCCATGACACTTATTTCTACCTGGGATATCAACGTCAGATGCGAGATTCTGTTGCCCGTGTTTATCCTTTCTGGACACCTGATGTTCCACTGAGCAGGTGGGTCATGCTTCARTTGGAAATTGCTCTTTACCTTGTGTGCACGTACACATGCTTTTTAAGTTTAGGCTTAAAAGTTCAGAATTGGTTGGAAACAGACATSTAGACAAAAAACAGGGATATAGAAGTTAAACTCCATCACAGATAGAATGTGTCACCCTCCCCAGTACCCCTCTTGACACTGTTGCTGAGGGATTTTTCTTTAGTGAGCTGTGTGTCACTGCTGTCAAATGTGGCACATGATGTGTGACACACGGGGTAAAATCATGTCCTCACAGTAGCAGTAGCAAAATGTCTTAATTTCTTTTAAAAAAACTATATTCATCTTGATCCATTAAATAAATCAGGTGCATATAACATCTCTAATTTTCCTTTTCATTGGGCCTTTATGGCTTAATGGGGATGATTTACAACCAGTTTTAAAGGGACACTTCATTAAAAGTGCCCTCCTGTGGTTTTGTGGGCACTGGAGAAAATGCAGAAAGTTGCCTTTGAGATCCTCACATAGCTTTGGTGACAACAGTGTTGCGCTGCCAACCTTTTCATGGTGCATCTTGCAGCTGATTTGGAGATCAGCAGCTGGTTCTGTGTAGCTGGKGATTCCATCTCATCCAGAGATGGAAATGTCCATTCTGATGTGGATTTTGTCACTGTTTCCCATGCTGGTGTCTCTGGGTCACTCATTTCCTCTGAGAATTAGCTTGGTRGTTCTGTATCCTGCCAGCTTGAACCCTTGTTGTAAATGGTACTGCAAGGACTTTTTGGAGTTTGAAATGCTATTTCTAGTGTGTTTTTTCAGTCCTGAATTAAAACTAGTTTCTAATGGGTGATGTGCTGGTTTTCCCCCTTTTGTTAGCTACGTGAAGGGCTATTACTCCTTTGGACTGGTGGAAACAAACCTGTATGACCGTGCTGAGAAGGTTGCCCATGAGGTAAACTGTCTGCTCTTGGGGCTCAGAGGTTTGAGGATTCTCAGGGTGGTGCTTTGTGCCAGTTACCAGTTCAAGTAGCAAAGAGATGGAGCTCAACATGGAAATKCTCACAGAGCTTTGTGAGACTTGTTGATAGCTGTTGTCACATCTCTGCCTCACCAAGGCTCTATTTGCCTCCCTTGCTTATGAGCATGCCCTGTCAGATGAGGTCAGAAAACCTCTATAAAATCCATAATCAGTCCATCTGCTGTTTCCCATGTGTATAATTGGCTGTTTGCTCCTATTAAAAAATGTTGGATTGTTTTGATGTAGTCTGCTCTTGASAATCCTTCCTGTTTTGCTTCCCCCTCCCATTTTTTCCCTAGATGCTGGTTCCTGGATTAWTGAATAATTAATTGTACAATGTTCCTAGGAATCAATATTAACCAGCCCATTTCATTTTTATGAAGGTATAATTATACTTGACTTTCTCCAAGTCCTCAGGATTATCCCTGTCCTCCAGGAGTCTTAGGCACAATTAATCTCTGTTGAGTGTTCTTGACAAAACTTCTGTTACATCAAATTGCTGAAAGTGACAATAGGGTCCAAACCCTAAAACTTAATCTTTACTAGATTTATGGCTTACTTTGCAAAATGCCAAAAGCCTTTATTGGGCTGAGGAGGAAGAATTGGCTGAATACTCAGAGCTGGCCATATTTTTTGGAAAAGAAATGGCTATCTGCAAGGCATTGTATCTTGGAATATGTTGTTCCTGTGCATGCAGCTCTTTCATTGATGCCTGTCTGTGAAATAAATGTAATTTCACAGTCATTATCAAAGCCTGCATTTTAAAGTGTTTTGCAAGTGTTCATCTCCCTGCAGCAGAAGCTGGGAAGTGAAGTCAGCCAGGAGATATTCTCTCCCATTTCTGTCCAAATCAGACTTCTGGGCTGTGGTTAATGGAGTGGTACAGGGATGCAGCTAGTTTAAAATAGTCTCTTGTTTCTAGAGAAGTGGTAATAAATGTCTGTATTTACAAGTTTGTAAGACTCATCATGTTTTCCTGKTTTTCACTCAGGCTTTGGCTATAAATCAGACAGATGCATGGTCTRTCCACACTATAGCTCACGTGAATGAAATGAAAGCAGAGGTGGAGAAAGGCTTAAAATTTATGAAGGAAACAGAAAAGAACTGGAAGGTAAACGTTTTTGTGGCATCTTTGAAGAAGGTCCTTTTAGGTTGTCTTTGACTCCTGCAGCCAAGTTCTTGAATCTCTGCATGCAGTTCCTTCCTATCTGCAGACCTGTTACAAGCAATGCAGAGTTTATTAGAAGAAATATATAGAAGATACATAGAAGAAATATATAGGAAAGTATATTAGAAGAAATCCTCACTTGAGGTGCTGCTACTCTCCAGCTTTTTAAGCAAGAGGCAGTGATAACTAACATAGAGAATAAAAAATTTTCAGCCCCCCTGAAWTTGCTGAATAGAATTTAGAGACTAACTGGCAAAAAAAMAGAGGRAAGAGTGTAAAAGCATGATGATCAACATGGCTGGAAGCAGTGGGAAAACAGATAAGAAGGACTACAGGTGTTTTTACAAGTTATAGTTTGTTTGCAGTTCATGTAACAAAGAAGGAACAGTGCATACCCATATGCAAAGAAAAMGTTCAGGAAAAGGTCACCTTTAGTATCAAAGCATTTAGTGAACATCACTACCAGAACCGCTTTTTTATTATTCCAGGACCATAAGAGGACTTCCARTAGGAGGCAGATGCATGCAAATTTGTTCTAGGAATTAGTTCTCTATATTAGATAAGAAACATGTTTTAATGAATATGTATGATTCTAGTGGATAAATACCTTGTTGCAAAGTCTCACCACAACCACAGAATAAGGACAGATCCTCTTTGTGTCCTGTGCAGATGAGAAATGCCTGCTGTCTGATCCTTCAAATTGATATTATCAGTGTTTATGCCAAACACTAAACTGCTTCTGTTGCTCGGGTTTGGTTTGTGATTTAATATTAAACAAGCAAAGGTTACCAGAATGTTTATCTTAGCACCTTAAGGCTCTGGTATTGGGAACCTTTGGGCTTCCTAAAAGTGCATGTTGCAGTTGTGTCTATGACAATACAGACGATTTTTCCACTTGTGAGAATATTAAGTTTAACTATGAGAGAGTGGGAGGAGAGGGGTGAACCTTTCTTGTATTTTAACTTTCTCCACAGGATTATGGAACTAAATCTCTGTGTGTCTATTTTTAATGCATTCACAAAAATCAAATGCAATTGCCTTGAAGTGCAGGCTGGGGAAGAGGATTTGTAGTTCTTGTGCCAGCTGGAAAGGACAGYGTGAAGTTGGTGCAGTCCAGCAAAAATTCATCTCACCTGATGAGCTGCCAGTGTGTTTGGTATCTAGTGCAGCTTCTGTAGGCTGTAGTAAAACTTGTTTAAAGAGTTTAAAGACTTGTTTAAAGATTCCTCTTTGTCTGAGATAGGTTGTAGATGGCTGGGATGAAAGGCCCTTGTAAGGCCTCCACATCCTCCTCTCTCCACTCCACTGTCTGGCCAGGTTAATTCAGACACGATGCCTAATCTAAGACAAATCTTACTCTTGATACAGATGTGGATTTAAAAAATTAAATTAGAAAAAAAAAAGGTCCTGCAGAAAGGTGAATTCTGAGGCATCCATGTGAAACTTCTCTGGAAGATGATTGTTTCTGGGGGAAACATTGGGTTTGAGGTATCTTTCTGAATAGCTGCAAGGGTAAATGTACCAAATGAGAAGGTGCTTTGGCTGCTGATTTAAATTTCTTGTCTCTTTTGTGTCTCACGAAGTACTCAGTTTTGCTGAAGGAAACAGAAATCTGACTAGATAACTTGAAAATTATTTTGTAAATAGTTTCTCTTCTTTTTTTTTTTTTTATTTTTCTCTCCAGAACAGTGATATGCTTGCTTGCCATAATTACTGGCACTGGGCTTTATACTATATTGAAAAGGTATGAGTTATTTTTATACAGGTGTTTTATGGGGGAAGGGGTGTTCAGCTGTTTAAAGGGATGTTTTTATAGAATACCAGGATGCTACATTTACAGAGTGGCATAGTTCTTTATTATGGTTACTTTGAGAGTTTTAATTGCATTGCTCAAAAGCTTCAGTATCTTTGTTAGAATGTTGAAATATTGCTGAGATTGTTGCACATTTGAAGATCAGATAGTCTTACYAATWACATTTAGCACAGTTATTTGATAGSAAGATGAGCTTAGATCTCTGATTTTGAGACAAAAATTAACAAAATTTTTATCAAATTCAGTATTGATTTTCTGGCCAAGAACTTTCTGACTGTAAAAAAAAGAGGCTGTAAACTCTAAACTTGGTTGCCAATGCTATTATTATTGTTGCTAATTCTTACTATTGAAAGCCTTTAAAAATGGTTGAAATTTTACCCAGCCTGTCAGAATTTCCTTGGATTTGATGCTTAGTGATTCAGCTCAATAGGGAGACAAATGTGGTGTCTTTGAGAGGGCAGCATCCTTTGGCCAGAAAGCACAGTAACATAGAAGGAACATAATTCTCAGCAGGAATCCAATACTTTATTTACTTTGCCACTTCCTATCTACACAACYTTTTTGAAGGCTATTTAAAATTKTTTTTTCCCCATCTCTTTGCATACMCCATGGGATGCACTAATTTTTGCAGAAATCYCTGAAAGGAAGATTAGAATGAGGCACTATCTCATGTTTCTCTTTCTTGCTTCAATTAGGCCAGTATTGGTACTTGTTACTAGATGAACCTCAACATACTGATCCTTTAGCCTGGTAAATCCAGGTTTTTCTGCTTTGAATACCTCAAGGTTTCCCTGATTTGGTTTGTTTTGATCAGGCAGTGCTGAATGCTGTTCTGACGTGTGTTAATGTGTTTGTCCCTGCTGGTTGCTGTGTCTGCACAGTGACCACACAGTTCTCCTTTGCTTTTCCAGGGGGAATATGAAGCTGCTTTGACAATTTATGACAAGCATGTGAGTAGGGGCCTTTTTTTCTTTTCTAAAAGCATGCAGGGTCATGCTGTGTGTGAGATTGAAACCTATCAGAGTGTGTGATCTATGTATAAATATTGTTTATATCTGTTAGAGTTTTTTAGGGAAACAATTTCTCTATTCTGGGGAAAAATGCCCCAAGGACTTTAGTGTYCCATGGTTTGAGTGCTTGAAATAACTACAGTGGTACTGATTTCAATTCTGTCCATGTTTCTTATTCATGGTTTTTAAAAGGATGTAAAACAATTTTCTGATAAAGTCAAGTCACCTTTACAAAGAACTGGTTTTGCATGTTAGGGACGAAATCAACTCTCTGGATTTCAAAACAAACTTTACAAATAAGAAGTATCAAACTAGATAACATAGCACACCTTTGTAAGGATTATAAAAATTATAAAAAGGAATTTATAAAAATAATGAATTAGGAATCAGTTATTAAAAAGTATTATAAAAATACTGCAAGCATTAAGAAAGCTGCTGGGCAGATTTCTTATCTACTAACCTTGACCAAGTGAGGTAATATTTATGATATAATTTTGGAAAAAATGAAATACCTCGATGACTCTCCATATTTACTGAGAAAACAACACGTGTAAAGCCATATAAGTTTTTGTCATTGCAAATTTCTGTATTCAAGAAAGATGCAATTAGGAAAACAAATACAAACAATTACAAAACATGTAATTTTGAATTAATAGAAGGATAAAATTAATTTAGTACTGTGAAAATAAGTTTGATAGTCTAAGTTTCCACTAGCACATCATTTGGCCAGCCTGTGAGTACTTGTGATTACAGATTGCTCCCCCGTGCCTGGCAAGTGGAAACATTCTGGATATAGTTGATAACAGTTCAATGCTGTACAGGCTCCATCTGGAAGGTAGGATGTCCTCTGGCCATTCTTTTTTATGACTGTAATTTTCTTTTCCCCTTCCCCTGCCATTCATGCTGGGGAAGTATTTCAGTGTAATTACACAGCAAGTTGTATCAGCCTTTCAGCAGAAAGTTCTGCTCTTGAGAAAAGCATCAGTGTGAAGTTCCTAATAATGTATAAGCTTTATTCTTCCCAAGAGCTTCCATTTTCCATGCCAGTGTGGCACAGCACTCAGCTCCATCTAGCACAGGTCACATATTTCTTCTTTGACAAATTCACTTTTCTCATCCCTGGAGGTCTGAGGCTGAACAAGCAAGCACATAAGCCTCTAAAAAAACATAGCACTTCCTGGAAGTAAATTTCCAGGTGGATGGTTTTCTTTCTGTTTTGATCCTGATTGAAATAGTTAATATTGGCATATTAACTTCTGGCTTTCTGTACTCTCCTAACTCAGTGTTATTTCCCCTTTTGAAGTCAGTATTTACACACAGGTTCATGGCAGGGGACACGATGGGCAGGCAGTATTTATTTATTATTTATTTTTTATTTATGTATTTTATTTTATTATTTATTTTATTTTTTTTTTTTTTAATTTATTTTTAGCACTGTTCTGCTAAACACTAATGATGCGTTGGGGGTTTTATAAAACCCTTCATCTAACTCTGTCTTGTGATTGCTACGGGCAGTTTGTGGTGAGCAGCACCTCCAAGAAAACACTATGAGCAATCTCATTATAAAGCCAGGTCACACARTGCAGACTAAAATACTGCCTTTAAACTCCTGACCTTCAAAAACCCTTAGCCCAAATATGGCAGGCTGCAGCTGAGCGTTATTGCTGCATAAATTTCACCACATCAGGGACTGTTTTCTTGAGTTCAGTGGGAATTTTTTTATGCTGAGTGGCTGAAAATGCATTGCAAAGTCATACTTTTGCGTGTGGCAATGCTACAAGAGACAAGTATTTTTTACACTTAGGTGTAAAGCTTGGGAACAGATGGAAGGATCTCCTTGGGGTTACGAAGAAGCACACCAAGGATCACATTCTTCTGTTCAATGATGTGCACTACTTGATGTCCTTCCTTGGAGCCAAAGACCACAAAACTACTGAGGAGCTTTTAACGACGCTGCAGGAACTTGCCAGGTGAGCAAAGGGATTCCAGCACTGGGGGGTTCAGTGAATAGCCCTCTGAAGTACAGGGTGATGATGTCTCTGTCTTGCTGTAGCTCCAGCACACTCCTCCCTGCCTTAGCACATCACTGGGACACATCTGGCTTAGGCAGAGCACCACCCAGTTAGGAGATCCATAGCATAACTCAGAAAATCAGTRAATGTCTAGAGGAGCTTCTCCTTTTGTTGGGCAGAAATCTTTAGARTTTGAGGTCCTGGACTCCAGCTGAGCAGTTCTGTTTGCTTTCAGTGGGGTCACACTGAGCTATGTTGTAGACAAGGAGTAAAATATATTAGTAAAAGCATTCTGCAAGTGTCAGCTGTCTGTGGGGGTTCTTTTCTGCTCTGCTTTAAAAGGTCCTTTAATAATAGAACATGAGATGGTAGCAATATTCTAATGGCCACTCTTTGATGTGTTGTGAAGTCCATCTGCATGAAATTAAATTTCAAGTACTAGTGAAGTAATAATCTAAAATATTTTGCTTTAAAATTAAATTATTTGAAAAATTTGAGTATTTAAGTTCTACATTCAAACAGTGGAGGTTTTGTGTTCCCTTAGGTATTAAATGACAGTAAATTGCCTTGATTTTTTTTAAGGGGTTGGCATATAGATGCTTTAAATGCAATTTCTTCCCCCACTACACCATTTTTCCCTCTGTTTAAGCATCTGTTGCTTCCTTTGCCTTTAAAAAGGAGAGAGAACCAGAAATTGTCACTGTTTTTTCCTGACTATATGTAGTTCTTAGGAATAGTGTAATTTTTAAGAATACTTGTGAAAACACGTAACTGTCAAAGCAAGCCTAAGTATATCTGATTTAACTAAGGCCGAAAATGGCAAATATCTTTGATTAGTTATTCTGTTGTTTATCTAGGTATGTCAGTATATGTAAAGTACAGAAAATTGAACACCACAAAAGCTTTAATGAACATGTGTTCTTATAGGCTACTTATTCTTTCACCCACTTTCTGTCACCTACTTTCAGCCTGAACAATACATATGTACTGTACATTTTTAGCTGTAGTTTGAAATATTAAAAGCTTCATTTCATTGTGTGAGAAAGCAGGCTGTGAGCTGAAGGGGTTATATTAATGATTGGATTAATTTATGTCTCTCACAATTATGTAATGTATAAATGGTACCCCAGATGTGCTTTGTGAAAGCAGTRGTACAACTGGGCACAAATACCAGTCCCATTCAGCTTTTTTCCCTGGTATTTTYCCCTGGCCTTTGCCACAGAAAGTTSATGAGGATTTKTCAAGTGTCCCACGGCACTCTCTGGTGGTYGGTGTCACCAGCTCCTTCTCATGGAAATACTGRCCAAAACACATAAATGAGGAATCATTCCATCATTTTCACCACTGCCCATCTCAAACTGTTTAATGAACATCTGTTGTGCACTTTTATCTTTCTAGGACACCACAGTTTGTGTAAGGAATGATAAACACATAGGGCAGTGTTGCCTGCTGGAAAAGGAAGGCTGGCCCAGTGAAAGACACAGGAAGTTTTGTAAAGCTGAGTGGAGAAGGAGCTGCAAGGTCCTGACTGGGAGCTSTGTGGCCAGGCAAAGGGCTAGCAGTGAGATATTCTGGTGGGGTCAGCAAAAGAGAAACTGCAGTTCTTTTACTTTCCCAGCCCAAACTGTTTGTTGCAGGGGTAGGAGGGGCTGGGCTTGTGCACTTGTGGGTAAATTCAGGAGAATGAAAACTGCTGGATGAGTGACAAAAAGGTGAAAGTAGCATAACCACACTAAAAGATATGGCCTGAGTCAAGTACCTGAAACATCAGGCTTTTTACAGTAAAAAAAACCCCAAACCTGTCTGCAGCCAGTGATAGAGTGGCATTGAAATAATTTATGCTTTGGCTTATGGAAGTTAACCACTTTTTCATTCCACAGAKTACCTTCTGAAGACCACCAGCTTTGCCTGGCTCCTGGTTTGGGGCTGCCACTGTGCCAGGCTTTTGTAGAGTTTGAAAATGGGAATTGTGACAAAGCTGTGGACCTGCTGTACCCAATCCGTTATGAACTAGTCCGAGTGGGAGGCAGTGATGCTCAGGTAAAGGATACCCAGAAACAATTTGTTGATGTGACTTAATCCCTTTCCAGTAACTGCCATTAGGCACTTACCTCATTAACAGCACTTCACTCCTAGAYAGAAAAAAGCTGAACTGTGCTTGTGACTGAATCCTTTTGCAAACACTCTCTAGCAGATTAACTATTTATTTTTAATGTTGATATGTTTCCTTTATGTGGATTAATAATTTCATAACCAAGGCATTGTAATCAGCAATACATTAGAAATTACTTACTAGTTTGTATTTTKCTGACTTTTTATTTTCAGAGAGATGTTTTCAACCTGTTATTGATTCATGCTGCTTTAAATTCTAAATCAAAGGCCAAACGGAACCTTGCAAGGTGAGTATTTCTCYGACAGATATTTGTGGAAGTAGCACTTGCTAAAAATGGCAAAKATCTTTTTTATGCAAGCATTTATGTTAAATGTAGCAACATTTAACGAGGRTAAAAAGTACAATAGCCTCCAATTCCAAAAGTACACTCTTGCAGCCTGGATGGATGATGTGTGTATGTGCAAGAGTAGTTGATTTTCAAATGGTTCTGCCTTCAAACACAGCCTGATGACCCGTGTGTGTGGTGCACTGCTAAAGGTCTGTGAGCTGCTGTAGCTCCATCAGTGCTGTGCTGGTGTGGTGTGACACGTGGGTTTGCCTCAGCCCCATCCCATGAGGCTGTGTGGCAGAAACAGCCCGTGTTCATCAGCCTCTCCTCCCTCTCCTCCTCTCTCAGGTGYCTCCTGAATGAACGGGATGCTGTGAGACCAAAGGCACCAATGACTGAGCGACTCATCAGGAGGGCAGCAGCAGTGCATTCCMTGGTGTAGAGCTTCCCTCCAGCTCCAGCTGCGACAGCCAGGGGCTTTCCACAAAGTYTGGGTGCAGGGAGTGCAGGGGTGCTGTGAAGGAATTCAGGGAGGTGCCCTGGGTTCAGAGATCAGACAACAATTTCCTTAAAAAAAAAGACAGAGCTGTTGCATTTCTTGGATGATTCCWCCAGGAAAGAAGAGAACCTGCTGCTAATGCACAGCTTTCTGAAGCATCCCAAAGGTGCTGCTGCTCCAGGATGTTTTCCTGACCATTTGCTCTGTCCCTGATTATTCACAGTGCAGTGACAGTGTCTGGATTTCAGTCCTTTGGCCCAGTTTGTTGTTTGGCCTACATGTGAAAGGTAAACTGCTCAGGWAATTCAGAGGGAGCTTTTAAATTAATAGGAGGGTGTGGGGCCGCAGCCAATACAGGCATGAACTGAAWTCCACATGGAGCTTCCAGCCCATTCAGACAGCAGTCACAGATCTGAATGCATTCAGGATCTCTTTCCAGGTGTACTTTTAAACTCTCTCTCATAAAATGTTGTATTTTTCTTTTCAATGTAGCATGGCAGAGGTTTCAGGAATTACTGAGTAAATGAAACCAGACAAGAACCTGACAAGAATAGGGACTATTCTAACATGGGTACTCMCTCAGCACTTTTAAATCTTTCAGAAAAAAAAGGTAAAGCCTGGGTTTCAGCTAAACAGTACCATCTCTGAAGGGAACAKTGGCCTGGTCTTTGTGCTTCCCTGAGCTTTTGGGAAGTGAGGCCTTACTGTTAGTCCAGAGTCCCTAGGTGTTGGCAAAGCAGGGTTTAAAGCAGTGTTGGAGCACACACTTCAGAGAGGGAAAGCCCAGGACAGAGCTTCTGCTGTGGGAAGAGGACAGGGAGACACAGGGACAGCTCTGTCCCAGTGCACGTGATGGGACAAACTTTGGTGCTGCAAGTCAGGCACGATGTGAGCCCTGGGTCTTTAGAGAGCTCTGGTGCCTCTGGATCCCTGCAGCATCCCAGAGCAAACAGATTGTCTTGGAACAGTATTCCAGAAATCCCTAATGATGGGAAAGATTGTATTTCAGACCAAAACTGAACTCATGCCACCTCTTGCTCCTGAACAGAAATCCCTCCCAGTCCTCCTTGGAGGTAGAAATAGCTAATTTTTAAAGCAACAATAATGAAACAAGCTAAGGGATTGAATTCCTTGCCATCAGGTGTTCTGATTTATGTGTGTTGTTCTTCAGCTTCATCACTGCTTGTCTGTCTAGCCCTGGTGGAGGGTGACTCAGAAGTCCCACTGGAATTTTACCATTAYTTTTGATAAGTGTACTTCAAGCAAKGACTTCCRACAGGTAACATTTACTCAAGGAATATAACAACTTGTCTAAGGGAACAAAAGCCTGAGCAAGCAGGGTGTAGTTCACATTATCAATGAAAGCACTACTTTTGATAGAAAATGATTGACAATTTTGTCTGCTTTGCCTTAATAAATTGAAAGATGAKCTTAGCTGAGCAAGCAAATATGTGACCTCTTTGCATGTGTGAAGGTTTTAAATGTTATTAAGGCTAATTTCATAGCCCTGTAATAGTGTGCACCCGCTTTGGTCCCATCCCTGAGGCCAGAATTCTGCAGAAGAGTCACAGCCCCAGCATGGCACGGCCACCCAGGGTGTTCCTTGGTGCCAGTTTGGAAGAGGCTGAGGTGCCACGAGGTGGGAGCACCGTTGTTTCTTATCCATTCTTCATTCAGAGCCTGCGTTTTCCAGCTTTCCTCCCCCTCCAGTTCAGCAATCCACACTGCAGCTCTCACCCCCATGCACCCCTCGGATGGAAAGGCCATGGAGCAGCTCTGCAGTTCTGTCACTGCTGTGTCCTCACTCAGCTGTGGGATTTGGACTGATCCTAAGCTCTCAGCATCTCCCTGGCACCCTCCCCACATGGGACTGCCTTGTGCCTGCAGGAGTGGGGGCTCTACAAGTGCCTGATTCTCATTCTTTAAGGGTTAATTACTCACCTCTATTATTAAAGGACATCCTTAAAACGTGTCAATATCTCACTACTTYGAGATACTAAAACCAGTTCTGCCACTACTTTTTTCACCTTTTAGGACCTCAGCAACTGGTTAGAACAGCTGTTTAATTACATGAAATCCAACCAAACTACCCCACCACTTTAATATGAAACATATCCCAGTTAGGAAGTTAATTTGCAGAATTTCAGTCTCCTTGAATCACACTATTCTCTCATAGTACTCAGCTATGCACCTMCCCCACTGGCAGTCCATGTCTGGCCAGTTCCCTGGTTTGGAAATACAGAAGAGAGACACGGAGCACAGGCAGGGGCTGCTTCAGTCTGTTTAGTCTTGCCATGACTGTACAAATTACACACTAACAAGAAGCAGAAAGTGCCTGGAAGCAGGTTTTATTTGCAGATACAGCAAACTCAGTAATACAAGAACTCTACAGGCAAACAAGAGAGCAATTTTAAGTGGTAAAACCTTCCTTGCACATTTTCATTTAGTTYTAAGTTCCTGGATTTATCTTTCTCTTCATCTTGAGAAAACTTGCGATCTTTGAGATATTTGACAGATTTGTAYCACAATGCAAAAACCGTAGAGGCTACTGGTGTTTTGTAAAGCTTATCTGAAGGTAAAAATTACTGCTCCTCTGTCCTCACCCCCAGTTTCCCTCTGAAGAGCTAAAGTGCCTGAATACGACAGTTTGTATGGACGGCCTTCAGTTCAATCACTTTACAGACGTCCTACTAAGATCCAGTAGAAGCTGCACAGGTTTCTGACCCAGGATCACTCACAGAGCAGGAAGAGGATCCTCACTTGTCAGCAMAATGCCCCGCCCAAGGTGGGCAGCAGAACGCTGATGGTGCCTTAGGACAGCAGTTCCACCACTGGCCTCGAGAGAACTCGTCTCTGTCARTCCCATTCTATGTCTGGAAAAACGAAAATTACCGCAAATAGGACAGAACATCTCTATTTATGAAGCTTCTCCTGTCCTACTGTACTACATGGCCACATCCACTGTAAAGCCTGGCTTGTTGGGACTTTGTGTCTTTATGTTGTGGCCATTTGTTGCAGCCAAACCACCAAATTTTGGTCTCTGCCTTCTCACAGGTGGTGGCTTTCAAGTTTCAGTTGAGTTCTGCTTCTGTATAGGTTACAGCAAGTTACCGCAAATCTCCATGAAGAATCTGATCCAACAGCTTTCAGATCCATCTGCCATTGTACAGAGAAATATTTTCCGCTCAAGAATTAACAACATGGATTTAAATGTTTTTTTTTTCTTTTTTTTATCATTTTAACCTGAAACTCATACCAGCATGAACAAGCAGTGCTTTCGAAATGAACTCAAGTCATTATTACCTACACTGAACTGTTTGTAATAATGACAGACGAAAGGATCAAGAACAGATGAATTCTGCACAGTAAAGAATCCAAAAGTTTCCTTAAAAACTACTGTACTGTAAATTTTTCTGTTAACTGTTTGCAAAGAGAAATCCTCTCTCTTTCTAAGACGATGCATTTACAATTACTTGCCTTCGGTGATCATAACATTCCATTTCCTATCCCACAGTTCTGATTTTCCTGCCATGGTTATCCAAATGTCCATGCTTCATTTAAGAGAGGAAGAGGAGAAGATAAGGCAATTAGTCACAACAAGTGTGATATGTTTTGCCAGCCCTCCTCAACGCAAAAAGTGTTTGGATTAACATTCCAAGGAACTGTATTAAAACGAAAGAAGTCACCAAGTAGAACACCCGCAATACAGAAAGCAAGATGAGCRACACAAACTGCCACGGTCCTCTAAGATATAATGCATTTTTTCTCCTCCTCTTTATACCATATTAAGTACTCTGGGTAAATCTGGTGTTTTTCAAAGACAACATAAACAGAAGGATTTAACTCATCATCCACACAGCTGTCATAAAACCTCAGCCTGTCAGCAGGCTTGCTCGGGGGACGCACGTAGGCGGGGTCGCCTTTAACGTAGTCTCCAACCAGAACACGAGCCACGAACATCAAGCGTCCCACRTCTGAAACCTTGCAGTAGGTGTGGGAATAGCAAGCATCTTTAGCAAAGTAACTCCCTAGAAAATGAGATGGAAACGTGGTTGTGAGGAGAATCCATACAGTGACAATAAAAACTCTGCATCCCTTGGGTTGTCAGGAGGTATCTGACCCAACCTTCAGGACTTCTTTTGCTCACTTTACAGAACATCATGGAAATGAAAGGATTGCACCATGTAATTTCCTTTCAGAATTTGCTATTGTAGGAGTAATTTTTTAAAAGCTAAACCAATAAACACACTACAGGTCTGTGTTATGATAGGAGAGACAAGGAAACATGAGSACCTTCCACAATCACACTGAACACACCCCTCTGCTCCCTGCCATACAAATTTCTCTTCCAAGTTCAAATTATGATCTCAGGCATCAGAAAATCCCACCTACAGCAAACCCCTGCACTAATGCTCTTGACACCTTGTGAGAAGTCTCAGCCCCAAACCCAAAGCAAATCCCAGTCCTCTTCAGAAGGATCATAAAACCAATTCCTCTTTTTTTCACCATCTGTAGTTAAAGACTTCAGAACTTTGATTGCTTCACCATCAGGGGAGCCTGAGACATCTAACACACAAAGTCACTTTCTACATACCCTTCCCATAGTTAACGCCATCACTTCCATTAATTCTCCAGTCAAAATTCCGAGCGCAGACCGTTTGAATGGAGACTACGTCGGATCCGTGGAACAGGAGTTTTTCCTTCACTTCCTTTCCTCCATTTTCCCTTTTCATCTTCTCCTTTTGCCTGACAAAAATGAAGGGAAGGAGAATGTGAGCCATGGAACAAAAGGGGAGAAGAATTTTTTTAAACAAACAACTATATAACATCCATATAAATGTCAACTGGATGAGGTTTCCAGCCTATTCCTCTCTCAGCTTTGGAAGACAAGACAGACCAGCAGCACAATGAACGAGATAAACACTGATACTAGTGCTCTCCAATTTTAGATAATTCTTGCTTTACTCAGGGAATTTAAGTATTGGCACTATCCCAGTTGCCACTCTCCTGGCCTTTTGCTCCTCTGTTGGGTCCTACTGGTTGTGCTTTAAGGTCTTTTGTCCCTTCCCATCCCATGCTCTCAGTGAAGGCAGCATTAACCACGGAGGCTCGGAGCTGGAGCAGCTTGTGCTCTGTGCCATAGATCCTGCCCCTGGGGGAGGTCAGTGCTGCTGAGGAGATGGGGCCAGGACACAAACCAAGCCTGCTTTCCCCACTAGTTCAGGCCAGAGTCAGACTGAGCTACMAACAGGGTCAAGAGAGGAATCACAACAAAAGGCTCAACTCGTATTTCACTTCACTGTTCCACAGCATCCAGATACCCCTCAGGCACTGATATTCTTCAGAAAACCATCAGCTACAAATTAAGCAGAGCCTGGGGGAGAATCCTTCTAATTTGTAAAGTAGTAAGTGAAAAGATAAGAGCAACGGACTGAAACTTAATGGGAACTTAATTGTGAGGGTGAGGAGGCCCTGGCACAGGGTGCCCAGAGAAGCTGTGGCTGCCCCTGGATCCCTGGCAGTGTCCAAGGCCAGGYTGGATGGGGTTTGGAACACCCTGGAACAGTGGAAGKTGTCCCTGCTGGCAGGGGCTGGGACTGGCTGAGCTTTGAGGTCCCTTCCAACCAAAACTACTGCAYCATCCTCTGGAGTAGGGAATGTTAAATTCTGCCTGCTTAGCTTAATTATCTCATTGGAGGAGGATAAAAAGCATGCACCATTACAAGTTTTGAAGTCTTTATGTTTTTCTAGATGAAAAGGTTTTATGAAATAAGTAGCTGATAACTTTCTGTGTTACATCATCTTGCAGGTCAAAGCACTCATTTGAGCAGTATTTTCCTACTCCATTACCATTCCATGCAGTCCTTGACTACTTAGCTCTTGTTTTAAACTAGACAACTGTTGTATGCAACAGCTTAATCTTGCATCAAACTAACTTGAACATGGTTGAGCTCCACCTCAAATCTGCTGGTCCAGCTTGGCCTAAGTACCTGGAGTTCAGTATCACTGATGCTGATGTTGAAAACCAGAAAAGGAGCTCTGGAACTCAGATCACGAAGTTAAAACACAAGGATTCTTTCTCAGTGAATACTGACTTCAGTCAGCAAAAGTACCTCACATGAATCTGACTGGAACAAAAAAAGCCCAAGCAGCCTTTACTATTTTCAGCATTTCATACACACTAATGGATAAAGATTTGTAACAGGCAGAGCACATGTGCAGCCCGCAACTACTGCTCAATCCTATTCCACATCCCAGTTTTGCACCATGCAGATCTTTCTCTCCTTGCTCTCCCCTCTTCCAAGGAGCCAGGCAAAGGGAACCTTTCCACAGGAGTGTGGCATTCTGTGGAAAGCCTCAGACACTCATTTCATCCTGAAACTGCTAACAAGGCACTACCAGTCATGTTAAAGCACAGGTGGCAACCTCCTTTCTTTCCTAGAAAGCACARGCAGGACAATCTGTTCTTGGGAACTCCCTCACATGAGGATAGGAAAACAAATACTAACCACTGAAACACCTTCCAGAGGGATGGATTCTGAATCCTCGATATGTTACGGATGGTGTAATTTTTCATAGTCTGATGAAACATCTGCTTTATTGTGTTGTATTCAGAGGTCACACTACTGAGCACCACTTCCTATAAAATACAAACCAAAGCAAAAGAAGGCATGAGGCTGCAGTCAGCTGAACCCTCATTCCAGCAGATACACTTTCAGAAGGGTCCCCAAATTGTGCTTATGAAGGGTAATTTAATGCTTTAGATCATGATTATGTGAGTAACTAAATACCACATAAATAAATWTATCAGCCCTGCTTTGCAAGGACACATCACCTCTCCTCGGGAAGGATGCTGAAAGCATGTTAGAGGTTTATCAACTCCAAGAGTTGACACTTGCAACTTTCAATCTCAATGAAACMGAAATTGCAAAAAGAAAACTTGACAGATTATTCCAGGTAGTGTCAGTTTTATATCTAAAGCTGATTAAGAACAMAAGATCTTAGAATCATTTGTAACCAGATATTTATGGGAGATTCAGCTATTAAAGATGAAACAAGTGAAACATAAACACCCTCCTGGCATTGTAGTGCCTTAACTTTGCAAGGTTAGAAGTTGAAAAGTTGAACTTAAATATAGACTTAAGAAAAGAACCATACATTTCTAAACAAATGTGACACTAAATACTGCTTAAGCAAATACAACTCCTTTCCCAAAGGAAATAGTCTATTTATCYATTATCCTTTTATCTATTTATCCATCCATTCTGTGTTTAAAATTCCATCAAGAAATGCACGTTTTTCCCAAAGAGAACTTAATGCACAACATAATTAAAGCACTACTTGAGCTCTTCTGCTTGCTTGTGTCATGCATGAATTTTCCATTCTTTCTCCAAATCAACCCATGTCTTTAATCTTCTAGAATAAACATTTATCTCCATAATCTGCAAAAGCATGATGCTGGCAGGCTGCTGTCACCTGATAACACTTTTCACTTTACCATGACTTAAGCCAGATGGGGACTCAAGAAGACAAAGTGAGATCCCAACGCATTCCAAAGTGTTTTTAGCAGGAAAGCTGTGGCCATCCTAACAGGTAACAGGAAACCAACATCTTACCCTACCAGGCAAAAACTCMCCCTTTTAGAAGGCTGAGCTTAGAGAGAAGATAAAATAGGACAAAACTTGTGTTTCACATCTGCACTTAAGTACTTACTAATGAAGAGATCAGTCACAGGGTACTATTCTAAAGATTAAGAATAGTCAGCTACACAAGAAAGAACTATTTCTTTGAATTTATTTAGAAGTCTTTAAAAAGTTGAGTGAAATTTCCCATGTCTCAATACAGGAGCATTTTCCAAAGCTTTACARCACAATCCATGAAGCAATTGGGATGTGCAAATACTGACTGCACAGTCTGTGACACCACAGCCCAAGCTGCCCACCACCCCCTACAGGATGAAAACCATGTCACTGTATTTCAGTACTGCATTTCTTATTTAGAATYATAGAATGGTCTGGCTTGGAAGGGACCTTAAAGCTCATCCTGTCCCAAAAAATAAGCAATGTTACTGAAACACAGCTGCTCATTTTAAGCCAAGAAGACTTTCTGCCTATCTCACAGGTTCCTTTTTAAAATGCAGATTTTGCCAGGATTATTTGCCAATGTCTGAGGAGAAGGCAGTTCATCAGGCTGTAACTATCAGCTCTCACAGTGGTCACCAAAAGCATGCAGAAGCCCAGCCACTCCCAATACTACCTACTGCAAAAAAACCAAGCTTAAGGTCCCACAGAAAGATTTAATCTAGCCCAGGCTTTTATTTTAGAGCCAACAAGTACCATGGGAATCGTCATATTCGAATTGACTTTTCCTTTCCTCTGAAAGGCACTCACAAGTTAAGAGATGTTTTCTTTGGTGCCAACTCAGCAAGCAAACTGAGCTCTGGGGAGCAAAAAATTCCCTCTATCCACACATCCCCACACCAAGGATCTGTGCAGTGCATTTCAAAGCCTCCCACATTCACCCCAGTGGCTCCAGGAACATCCCAACAAATGCACTCAACTAAAATTCACACAAGTTTTCAGAGCAAGAATGGGAAGCAATTAAGCACATACAACTCAAGAGACCTAAAAAGAACAAAGCTACCCATCTTTCTGGCTTTCTTTGGAAAAAATTATGCTTGTTAGTCAAGCTGCTAATAAGCCAAGGGAAGAGCATATTGGCTCTGTCCTCTGTTACTTCAACCAAGCTCCAAAAATCACAGGCTAATGCCCAAATGGGCTGCCTGCCAGATTCCCACACAAACTCATTATTTCATCTTTTCTTTCTGAAAGTCATGACTCAACAGGAGGGTTTCTCTAACAGTTTTGTCTGACCTGTCCTCCTCTATGCAGTAAATAATCTAGTGTACTTTGCCATCAAACCTTGTCAAACCACTGTCACCTTCACGATGGAACTTTGTTAAATGGCAGWTTGATATGAACACAATGTTCTCCTCTCTTGTGAGTGAAGTGCCATCACTCCACCCGTGTCACTGACACACAGGGAACCTGTGCCAACACAGCCTCATCAGCAGCACACGAAATTCTGTGACACAGCCAGCAAGGGAAACCTCGTATGCCCCTGTTCATCAAGCAGGGTMAAAATCTACACAAAGGGCAAGTGTAACACGAGAAAGCTTTTCTTTCTAGTGCCCTGTAGTGCTTCCATAAACTCTGCTCCTCTTCAGAAGGACTCCAGGACCCAGTCATCTAAAACACACCCACATATTTAGCCTTGGAAGATCACACAAGAACAGAGACTTTGGGCTGATAGGGTTTGGGTTTGTTTTGTGRAAGAAATCACTACAATGTCTTTTTATGGCTGTAGATCTTTTTTTCTGCCAATTTCTGAGGCCAGGTCTGTGCTCAGATCAGTGATGTAAGTGACAGTAAGGGGGGTATAGATTTCCTTTCCTGGATCTCCAGTCCMAACTTTACCAATAGACATAAGACTATGATTGGATAGCTGTTTAATGCCTGCAAGTCTGGTCTCAAACCATTTCTTCTAGTGAACAAATATGTGCTTCATACAAGCCCTTTGCTTAACTGGTCCACTGAGTAAGCCAAGTAAGTTGGTTTTTAACTTTTAACAGTAAATGTTCCCATTCTGAACTTAATGACTTTTGGGTTCTCATGTAGATACATGCCTAAAATGCAGTTCAAGTTCAAGGGAATTTGGCACCTTTTTCAGGAGCCCTTGGGAGATCACCGAGATCTTTAGCACACCCACCCAACAAATTATTCCTGCCCCTTTTTAGCATCTATGCRGTTACAATTGGTTACATTTTGAATTGTGCCTTTCCCCTCAGAATTATAAGGGCAAGGGGGGGTGGGGGAGAAAAAATAAAATACCTTGTGTCCCACGTCAGGCAGTGCAGATGCATCCCAGTGGCTAGGACAGGTCTGATTTGGAATAGAAGAATCCCTCTGGCTGCTTGCAAACAGACAGGAGAAGAGCTGTTAGTAAATTACTGCTCCAAACATTGAAATTTGAGCTTCCCCTTAGGCCAATTCCTGCCTTTAAAAATTACCAAAACAAACCACAAAGAAACTGGGAAACAGCCTCAGTCTGCAAGCTGAGCTCTGCATGCTGCCACTCAACCATCATGAGCCTCTTGCACTTGCTTTTGTAGGTAACAACTGTGGATGTAGTACCTGGAGTAACCCAGGCAGCAAAACTGCAGTTTGTGATACAGTTTGTGATACATCTTCTGTTGCCCATGGTTTGCTCAATCCCCCTTTCTCCAGCAGCACCTGAGTTCTTTGTACAATCACTGCCAGCCCTTCTGCCTTAAAATTACTTCTAAAATACAAAAATGCAACAGCCTAAAGTGCACTTACCCTGTCTTTATCTTTTGCACATCCTCAGAAGACACAAATTTTGGCCGCCTGCAGATCTGTCTGCGAGTTTTAAAAACAGTGTTTGTCTGGGTCATTTCTTGAGGGGGAAAAAGAGCAGGAAGAAAAGTCATGAATAAGTCTACAAGATGGGGTCATTATTTAAGGACAATCATTCTTTAATGAAAACTGCAAACTCAGTGTCAATCCTACCTGCTGAGGAATAGCTGTACAAAGGCTGTAATGCCTCCYGCCTTTCCTGAAACTCCTGCAATTGAACCTGTGCCTATCTTGCTTGCTCCCTCAAGCCATTCATGCTCTTTAAACATTGCTACAGTAGCACAAAGATGCTTCATTTGTATTTTTTTATCATCAAAAGAATTAACTTACTTTATTTAAGGTTTACTATGCCTTTCTGTAAAGACTATGAATCTTTTTTTACTTCTGGTCAGACATGAGTCTRGAGTGTCAAGGAATAAGAGGGAAGGCTACTTTTGAAAGGAATTTCCTCTGGGCTGTCACCACCTCACTTCCAGTAAGGGAAACTGGTGGTGTCAGGAAAGGAAGACATAACTTCTCAAAGCTGGGAGAATTTGCAAGTCGAGTCTCTGTAAAGCACTGCACAGCTGTAGATGAAAACCTTTAAAATGACTACCTTTAAAATTGAGTTCGTATTGGTATTGGCCAGCCTGGAAAGGTACAACAGCATCTGGATCTGCTTGATACAAGTTCTCAATTATAGCAGAAGTTGGTGAGGCCGTGCTGCTCCCTTCACCCTTTGTGGGGAGAAGAGAAAAAACAGAGTGAGAAGTATCACAGTCAGGACTAAACCCTGGATAGCTAGCTGGGGCAGAGGGAAAGAAGAGGCTAAGAGTAGGATGAAAAGGAATTTACCCAAAACAACAGTGGCCTGAGGCTGAGTACTGAACATTTGTAACATACACAAATACATAATTAGTAATGATGGACACACCAATATTCCATTTAAATTCCTGTAACAAGTTGTGCTGGAAAAAGAYTGCATGTGACCTGAGAGACCAGAGCAATCCTTGCCTGTCCAAGGAAAAAGGGCAACGCTTAGAAAAGAGGCAACTACTTCCCATACATTTTAAGGACAGTTACATATGTTAAATCTGTGTAGGAGCCATGGACAGCTCCAAAARGGAGCTCTCTTCCCTCCAGCCTATCAGCATTTCATCCTGCTGTGTTATGAACAATTGTAGCTTCACCACCTTACCCAAACTGTAAAAGCCAAGCACGAGGATTCCCTTAATTAATCCTGCTGAGAAAAGGGGAATGAGGCAGAGAGGCTCCACATATTCCTGCAGAAGTAACTCAAAGCACAGAATGTGAGCTCACCTGCTCTCCATATTCAACCCACTGGTCTTGGTTATCCTTCCAGTACCAAATCCACTCTGTGGTCAGTAGGAATGTGGGTTTTGTGACTGATGATGGCGTAGAGAGGCGTCGAACCGAATAAGAAAAGCAGGTCATTGTCTGGAAATCAATGTTCCTACTCGCCATGCTGTGAAGACAAATTCAGGTTTATTAAAGTTAACAGTGCATATTATATCCTCTAATCCCCAGTTTAACCTGTTACCATTTTCTTTAATATAATGGGACCAAACTTAATTAGATCTGCAATAAGAGTATTTCCCACAGCACATGGCAGCTCTGGAAAACATTTCCAATCTTCAGAAGTGAACTCTGGCCTGTGAGGCATYAAATGCCATCTCAATCACTGGCCACATTTTACAGTGTCAGGCTCCAAGGACAGGTAAAAGGTAGTTTTGTGATAAACTCTGACCACGCCACATTTTCTCAATACAAAAGTAGAACTTGGAAAGTGTGTGGCTGAATCTGCCAGCAAACACCTGCAGCTTATCAACKTTGTTCTTTTTCTGTGGTTACAAAGGATGCAATCACAGCAATCACAGATGTCAGTTCTGTGAACTGTGTTCATCACTGGAGCCACCTGGGCTCTTACTCCTGCCCAGAGTAAATTGAAAAATTTACTCTCACGCAGGAAGACTTTGAAATATTCTCCTCTTGGGAATATTGTTTGTGATCTCCAGAAAACTGCAAATCAAAATCATCTGCTGCCTGAAGAGGCATGGGCCAAAACTAGAATAACATTTTCTGAAGCCAAACTTGGGGTTTCCTGTCAATCCAGGTGGCTTACAGTGGGGTTTTTCAGAAAGAATTGAAAGGAAATCACACTCTTAAAATAGAAAAAAAAAATAGCTGGGTTGCTTACACAAAGAGTATTTCATAAAATACCTATTATTATTATTACTATTGTTGCTGCTGCTCGTATTGTTTTTACAGATATTAGATTTAGTAGGAAAGAAAGAGCTGGCTCTGAAATGCTGTCAGAAGGCCCAACTTCATTACTGTAAATAAACTGATTAATTATCTGAAATACTAATATTTTTAACACTGTATTCCACGGACTTTTTATCTTGTAGAGAGTTTTAAATGCAAGATATAGTTTTGTTGTTTTTAAAGATGAAACTGGGGTGATATTTTCATGCAATCACTCTTACTTTGCTTTTTTTAAAAGGAAAAATTCTCATTTGTACATCCTCCCAGCTTCTGAGAGGCTCAGTAACCAAAAGCTGAGAATTCAGACATTTTTAGGAAAAAAACTTGAGTTTTTCCACATGGGCYCAATGACAGTGCTCCAAGCAAGGAGTCAGCATTACTACACCTGCTGTTTTTGGGGTCACAATAGGCCTTTTCAATTTCTTCCATCATTCCAAGTTCATTCCAGGAGATCCCATTAAATATCTCCCATTTATATGGCAAATGGTAATGAACAGATTTGCATTTATCTGTAATGAAAACAGACATAGTCAAGAAAACTCTGCAATCATTAACACAGAGAGCAAGACAAGAAAAACCAAAATAGAAGCAGCATCCTTTCCACCTTGAGGSTTTCTCTCCTGAGCTTTGGTATAAGCAATGAAGACAGACTGCTGAGAACAGAGGGGGAGCGTGTTTCTCCAGTCTTACCAAGAAAAGCCACATATATATTTATATTTTTATATATATATGCAGCCAAATATATGTCAAAGACACCAGAACCTTCCCTCTGCTGAGACACAACACTGGCAGCTGAGAGAGCAGTGCCACAGGTAGGAAGTGCATGTTCTGTGTCACACAACCATGTCATTTGCTGTAAAACGTCTAGTCTACACATCTCATAAACACTCCAATATATTTGATTCTCTTTTCCTTAGTCCCTTAAAAATCATGGGGTGGTTGCCAAGGCCTGAAGGGTTTTCTTCTGGCACTCCACATCCAAGTATGGACCAAACTTCTTACAACTTTTGAGCCAAATGTGGCAAATAAAGCACACTGACTCTCCAAACATTATTTGAGATTAGTTATCTGGTGGTCACAGTATGGCAGCTTTGTGCCTGACCTTCAYAGTTTCACACAGGTACACCATTCACATTATACAGGTCCAAAAATGTAYAAACTTCAGCTTTGAGCCTGGTCCTAAAGGAGCAGAGAGTCTGGGAATGTGATACAAGGCTGGAGTGGTTGCTGCACAGACAACGCCAAATGAAGCTTCACCATTCCTGACTCCTGAACTGACCACATAACATACAGAAACAAAACCCAGTTCCAAAGATAACAGTCTCACTCACTTCTTTCTTTTTTCTTTTTGTTAATGGGGCTGCAGTGCACTGTCTTGAAAAGCACTTTAACTTGAAAAACTATGGACAAAAACCACACTTTGTCTCTCTTGGCCACATTTAATTTCTCTGATCCATGAAATAACCATAAAAGTACTGATTAGGAAATCAAGCCTTAACTTTCTCATCTGTCCCTCTGAATAGGAGTTTCTGACAGGACAACTGCATCTTTCACTATAGAAATGCCAAAATACACAGAAACATCTCACACTGAACACTTACTGTTCACATGCTCAGCAAAAGCCAATTCAGTCTGATCTAATTTAAGTGGATCTTTTACCAAGACCAGGTGSTCAGAGGAGTAGCAGTCTGACTGGACAAGCTCAGGGAAAGAAAATGCCATGGTACCTCCCCATAATAAAGTTAGAGCCAAACCTGGGGGTTAAATGACTGTTCAGGGACAGCCCTCAAATACAATTACTTCTATTTTCCCCTCTGTTCTGGCCACTACCAAAAAGACAATGGACTAGATTTATCTTTAGCTTAGCTGGTACAACTGCTGTGGTTTTTTTCAGATGTTTTAACACCTCAGATCACTTTTTAAATCACTTAATGAGGGAGAATATGGCTATTATCTGATGTACAAATGACACAGAAGGAATAGAGGGTGGCATGCATTTACCAGCTGTCTATGATGACAGCATAAAGTCAGCTMTTATCTTCTAGCTACAGAAAGGGTAACACTTGAAGGGCTTTGCCACAGAAACATGCCCAAAGCCTGCCCCCATCAACAGGGCAGAAACAGGTTGGATTACCCAAAGAAAGGGTTTAAGTTTTAAGTACACCACTTGGCTTTTCTCTGACTAGAGTTGTAATTCTCAGAGTGTTTATTAGTGCCTTGGAAAGAAACCAAACGAGTGAGGAGGCACTGTTGCCACCAACACTCCATGTGCCACCATCAGCCCAAGCCATTGAGCGAGGAGTGCCTCTGCAGACACTCTTTTCCAATGACTACATGACTTTTCATAAAGCTTACCCTTGTTTTTGCAGTACTTCCAGACATAGAACAAACAGATCTCATCACAGTTATCGTTTCTGTTGTCCTTTGAGGCTTCATCAGAGGAAYTGTCCTTTTTACCTACAGCAAAGAACACATCAGTCCATATTTGCTCTAAGAGAAAGACACGGCATTTGSTATTTCATTTTGGTACCCAGAAATAACAAGGATTTGACTGCAGTAGCAAAGTCAAGCCAGACCAGCTTGTGGGGGACTGAACACAGGGCTCAGCCCAACACACAGGTATTAAACCTGAAAACCAACCCACCACTTTTGAAGACAGCAACAGGCTTGAGCTGTCTCCAACTTGCCCAGGGACTGGGGCCACACAGCATTGTGACAGTGAATACATTACACCGATCTGTAAAGGGATTCCCATTATTTTTGTGATTGAACTGTRCACTGTAATTGCTATGTTTTGTAAGTCAACACTTGTATTTTGTTTCCCGTGGATTTTGCACCACTTTGCTACATCAGAAATGCCACTGGACTTGTCACTGGACAAATATAGCAGACTTGGCTAGAACAAGAAATAATTTTCTTCACAGCAACCCATACGATGCCGTGTTTTAGATTTTTGACCAGAGCAGTTCTGTTAATACACTCATGTCCCAACTTTTGCTGAACAGTGATACAAAGCATCAAAGCCTCCATTTTTCTCCCTGCCCCCAGAGTGAATAGAACTGGGGGTGCACAATAGCTTAGCAGGGGAAACAATTGGGCAGAGGACCCAAACTCACCAAATATTCCACACTGCATAACATAATGCTTAGTAATAAAAGGGAAAAGAGGSAGTTTTAGGAGGGTTAGCAGCCTTTTGCTAGGTAACTGGCTAGGCTAGTTCATCAGCCTATACATGGGATGTGGTGAGTCAGTGCCTTTGCATTACTTCTTTTGCTTTGTTTTCCTATTCTGCTCATTCTTTCAGGGTTTTCCCCACTCCCATCTTGACCCTCAAGTTTTCTTGCCTTTATTCTTTCTTTCCTCTTCCCTTACCCCCTTTACTCTTCCCTGCTCCCCTGGGGATCAGAGGAAAGTGAAGGAGTGGCTTACTGAGGTTAGTCCACAAAACCTGCATAACAMCAACTCTCTTCAGATAAGCTGATCTCAAGACTGGGGGGGTTAGAAACAATCCATACCTTCACCTTTATCTTCTGCTCCTGTTGGCAGCTGCTGTTTGCTCTGAACAGATCCGGTGCCACTGTGACCTGCATGAGAAGAATGAACAGAACTGCTGGGCCAGAAGCTCAGCTAGCTGGCAATATCCCAATCTCTGCGGACAATTATGTCCATCACATGTGTAATTTGATATGTGTAATTTTTATTTCCTATGGACAGAAGGCAAGATACTGCATGCACAGATATAGTTCTGTCACCTTCACAGGAAGGAAAAAATGTCCAGGACAGCAGAGAGATCAGCCCCAGGCTACTCCTCACTGGGCTGAACAATGCTTGGGCAGAAATTCCAGCACTGCTCCACTGCCACCCGGTACTATGGATTTCAGCACACAGTGAGGTAAGCACAGAAGCTGCACTGAGCTACCACTGGGAGCTGCATGAAATCAAATCCCAATGAGAAGCAGCAGTCTCAAGGCTGGAGGGTTAGAAACAATCCATACCTTCAKCTTTATCTCCTGCTCCTGTTGGCAGCTGCTGTTTGCTCTGAACAGATMCGGTGCTACTGCGACCTGTGTGAGAAGAATGAATGAACAGAACTGCTGGGCCAGAAGCTCAGCGAGCTGGCAATATCCCACTCTCTGTGGACAATTATGTCCATCACATGTGGTAATTTCATATGAAACATTACACCATCCATATGTGGAATAGCTAAAGAACCTGTTCAGACAGTACTGGACTCTGATAAGCTTTAAAGGCAAGGCCCTTTAAAGGACAGGAGATTTACAAGGTGCTATTCAGTCACTGGAAGGTGTATTGGGACAAAACTCTACCGATTCCCTATAGACAGAAGGCAAGGTACTTCATGCACAGATATAATTCTGTCACCTTCCCAGGTGACACCTTCTGTTGGTGGCTCCCAGGAAGGAAAAAAATGTATCCAGGACAGTAAAGATAGYCCCAGGCTACTCCTCACTGGGCTGAACAATGCTGGGGCAGAAATTCCAGCACTGCTCCACTGCCACCCGGTACTATGGATTTCAGCACACAGTAAGGTAAGCACAGAAGCTGCACTCCACTGGGAGCTGCATGAAATCAAATCCCAATGAGAAGCAGCAGTCTCAAGGCTGGAGGGTTAGAAACAATCCATACCTTCATCTTTATCTCCTGCTCCTGTTGGCAGCTGCTGTKKGCTCTGAACAGATCCGGTGCYACTGCGACCTGTRTGAGAAGAATGAACAGAACTGCTGGGCCAGGAGCTCAGMKAGCTGGCAATATCCCAATCTGTGGACAATTATRTCCATCACCCTTATAATTTTCCACCAGCACTCCATTGCTGATACAACAGAGGAGCAATAACAGTTACAAACCCCAGTTAGTCACAGTTAGTGCCAGCCACTGAATTGCTGTTTTGCACGCAGTGTTTTAGGAACTAAAAGAGCAGTTCTCCCTCCCACATGATTCTGCCATGACTGACTCCATTCACGGAAGCAGATAATAGCAGAGAGGGAAAAAAATGTACATATTGCAAGAGGAGAAATACACAAGCTGATTTCACAAGGAAACRGTTGGTACTGGTATCTAGATATTTACCTTCTGAAGGTGGCAATTGCAGCATGGTTTGCACTGTTTGCAAAGGTTCCTTCAGTTCTTTATTCCTCATAAGTGCTGGGTTTCTCCCATAAGCATTTCTTGGTCTGTAGTTGTGTACTGAAAGCACCAAAAGGAAAACAGGATTTAGATGAGGAGTAAAGCAAGAAGAGTTTCTACCTCTAGCAAATTCAAAATCCTGTTTAAAGACCAAATCCTGTTTCTTGCAACTTACCATACCCACTCTTCTGGTTCCTGTTGAATTCCATATGCTTGTAATCACATATGATCTGGAAGTTTGAAGCYGTCTTCCCATCAATGCCTCCAGTTTCCAACACTCTCAATGCACAGCTATCCAAGAGGTTATGGGATATTTTGCATTGAGRAAATTTGCATTTCCCCTTGAGAAAGTACTGACAAACATGAAGCTTGTTGCAGTTGTTTYGCTGCATGCAGTCATCACCTCTTTTGTTGTAAAACTGGCAGGTCTAGAAGTGGAGAGGATACAATATGAAATGGAAAAGCACATTAGAATTTTTCTTTGTTCTATAGGCATGCAGCTTTAACAGCAGAAAAAMTGTGACTAAAAGGCATGTGTTTACTGTGATTTCTTTAATCTAGACAGCTTTCTTGCATAGAGGAGCAGGTATTTCAAGCTGACTCATGCATTTTCAGTTTTGAAATTGTACACGTCTTGTTTCCAAGAAAAGCCAATCCAATAAGCTTAAGAGTAGCAAAAATGGAAGCAAGACAATTGCATAAAACCAGACAGGTTTACAGCATTCTATTTTTAAAAAACCCTGTAAGATAACAAATGATGAAGAACAAGTATCTCCATAAAAACACGTACACTGTCAAATGAGTTATTATTTCATGGACTCTGCWACTGACTCCCAATACCACATTGGGACTCTCACAGGTCCCCTCTAAATCCCTCTTCCTGGGAGCCACCAACCACTGCTCAGGGATGATGGGTTGGGCATCAGTCAGCAGCACCCGTACTGGGAATTACTTGTTTCTCCTGGGTTTTAGTCACATTTCTCTCTCCTTCTCATTACAGCTACTATTAGCACATTTTATTCTGTTTCAATTACTTTMGTATCCTTACCTCAACCCACAAGTTTTACCTCTTTTCCAGTTCTCCTCCCCATCCCACTAGGGTGGGAGAGGGCAACTGGCTGCATGGTATTTATCTGGGCTTAGACCAAAAGGGAATCCAGTATTTAGCTACATCAAGAAAGCACACTGTCCCCTTGCATTTGCTGAGAAACAAAAAACGAACCCAAACTTAAATAAACCCCACAACAAACAAACAAAAAACCAGGAGAGCCAGAGAGAAGGTGAGGAGAAGTGGGAAAACTCCTGATGTTGTGGTGCTGCTGCATTTTTCTTAYATTCATCCCAGTTCAGGTCCTAGAACACCAAAGTGTCCTCTTGYTTGAGAGCTTCCTACATGCCATTCTTCACACACAAAACCAGTCAGCATTTCTAAGCAGGAAACAGCCAAGGTGGYTTTTACATTTCATTTCCCAGCTCTCAGGTTTATGAATGGCCTGCACTGATCACSTTTTTCTCTCATTTTTGCTATTTTACTGCATGATAGGAGTTAAGGTGCTCAGTTACAGGTAATTAATGATGCCTGCCAGAGTGAGGGCTGAGCAGATCTCTAGTAAGCATTTAAGGGTAATACCAGCTAAGGATGGTTGCCACTATTTGCTCATTACTGGGAACAATTAGTATTTTTCCTTGCTTATCATCACCAGGTTCCTTCAGTCTGCCAGTACAACACACTTTAAAACACTACACCAAAAAACAAACAAACAAAAAAAAATCTATTCTGTCAAAGTCCAGCACTGCCACAGCAGGGAACAACGAAACAATAGAACTGTTGTGTCAACAAATCTGTGAAGATTATAATCTGCAAAAGACAAGGGTAATGGGCAGTACTTTGGTAATTTCTTAAGCAGAGCAGCTGTAGCCAGAACTCAGCCTTGAAGACGTATTGTCCTTATACACACATATTGAACTAGAATGGAATGTTCAACCAAATTTAACAAAATCAATGACTGGCATACAAACTGGACAAAGGTTACTTCGTAGAAAGTCAGTACGAAAACCCAGTGCGCTTTGGAAGAGGCAGATTTTAAACAAAACTGGTCATTATCTCATAGAAAATTCTTATTTCTTATACCCTCAAGCACCAAAATGTGCAGGCCTACACAGACTCGAGAAGGAAAGGGGCCCTCACTTTGCAGCCTTCATCATCTTTTAGAGAAGAAGCAACAAGCTGAGTTTTGGTCAAATCATTTACCCTGTAAGCATGTGCCAATTATTGTGATCTTTCAACTCTCTTTTGCTTACCTCACCCTTTGTAAACCACTGGCAAAGCTGCTGACATTTTTGTTTGCTTGCTTTGAACAGCTTTATGGCCATCCTGTTGGGATAACACAAATGGCACCCCAGACAGGCTTGCTGCCCACCTCCTGCTGTCAGAGTGCAGGTCTGCTGCTGACACATCACAGACAGCAGGCCCTTCTCCACATGCAGGTCTTTGGGTACTTACTAAACAGTTTTACTGCTGTGGGGATAGTTTTTTATTATTTTAAGTACACAGCTCAGGCCTTATGTTGTTTCATATTCCCATTCCCATTCCTCCTTCATCTCAACTAATCCTGTTTCATATCTTAACATCTTGATACTAAGATCAGAATTCCACAKTCTCTTGCCCTCTCCCACTCTAATAAACAAAAACTTTCTGTTAAGACATCAGTACAACTTACATCAGGGAGGAAGAATGCATCATTTTGGAGAAGCAGGACTTGCAGCTCATCCTCACTGAGGCCAGACAAATCATGTTTTTTCAGAACTTTTTTGTTCTCAGCACTCATGATGTCGTGCGAGTACTTACAAAAACTGCAAGGAAACACAGAAATATCAGTGCTTATGCCTTTAGTCAAGTTGATTTAAAGAAGAACCTCAGAAAACATGCAACTTGGGAAAAGCCATGAGAGAAAGGTTGCTTGGCAAGTCTCTGTAATTAGTTAGAGAACGGACCAAATAGCACAACTCTGTGAAATGCAGTAACATTATCTTCCTCATTTTAAACTTCGGTGTAGCCAGACCCCACACATTCTTTGCCTCCACTGAGATCCAAGTCAAATCACATGACCTAAACAGCTGAAGGAAAAGTTTATTTTAGAGGAATACACCAGCAACGCTGGAAGTTGCAACACCCTTGATTTTGTGAACATAAAAGGTTGTTGCCCTAGGGATGGCAAGTAAAGAAACATGCAAGAGGTCTGCACAAAAYAAAAAACAGAGAAGCTCAAAACAACACATTTTGTTATCTTCAGTGGCTGTGAAGTTTTATTAAAAAAAAAAAAAACAAAACAAAACCAAGAGACAGGTAACTTATGACTTCTGAATAAAGAAGCAATTAAACTATAATAATGAAGTCAGTGCTGCCACTTACTAAGCCAAGAGAAATGTCTAATGAGTACAAATGAGAGAGGGAGATTGCAGATATTTTGGATCTGTTTGAAAAGATACTGCAAATCAGTAATCAAGAGGAGACACATAGTCAACCTGTATAATTTTTTAATTCAGTGYAGTAAAATACAGCTTCATGTCCTGCTCTTCAACACATGATCTGATACAGCCTTAAGATTAGAAATACTCAACCGGTAAAAACACCTGTTAATTTACCAGATTCAATCTATCCCTTTGCCCTTTCAGCCTCTAGTTAATTCCTGAAGCTCTCCTAGTGGCAGTTTTACCTCAAGGTGTCTCTGATCCAATCCTTCCATACAGGCTCTTGTGTAGATATTTCTCTACCGACCCCTGCTACCTGTCAGACACATTCTTTGCAAGCAAATAAACAGGAAGTGCAGGAGTGTGCCATCTCTGGTTCCGAGAAACAATCTTTCAAGGATRTTAAATGCTGTAGGCACTCAATTAATGGCTCTGAAGGTAGGTGAGCTACAGAGTATTTAAGGTGGGAGGCATCACCATCTACTTCAGACTCCACCCCGGTGCATCACAGTGATCTACATCACCTGAGTCTCTATTTTCAAGTCAAAGGTTGAAACACTCTACAGTGATAACCACACAGCTGAGTTGAATAAAATATTTAGGGGAAAAAAAAAAAAACGTGAAAAGCTACTTGCCAGGTAGCAAGTAAAAACAGGATTACTTGGATTAAAATCTTGACTCCACTAAACAGAAGATCTGAATAACTTGCTCAGACATTTTTTATCCAGGGATTCTAAAACAAAAAGGATGCAAGACCTGGAAAGYAAGGCTAGATTTTACCTTACTACTCAAAAAACAGTCTCTGTCTTGATCTTTGTGCCCTACCTAGCAGATTTTCTGCCCCTCCCATTTTAATCAAGCTCCCTCCTATAAAAGGCATACTCTTTTCTTTATTGATTTTTAACACATACCAAATTGATTATAAATACTTAGTGCTGTTGAGAGGACAGAATGGTTTATCATTACGAAGGGAGTCACCTCACTGCAAACTTTCACCCCCACAAAGTCATCTATTGGGAGTGCCTATGCACACATGAAGGCATTTCCAACAGTGACCCCCCWGGGAGCTTATTGTACTGTCTGTAATGCAACAAAGAATAAGAAAATCTCATAATCCTAATGGATGAGAGAGGCACATGGCTTTTCCCCTCCATGCTCTCCAGATCTGAGTGCACAGAGATCCATTTCATTGGGGCACAAAAGGAAGGATCCAGCAGGATTTTGCATGTTCCTAATGCTGCATCAGCACCAGAGCTGGGACYTGGGGGCTTAGACTGCAAAGTTCTYCCATGAGAGCTCACCATGGCCACTGACTGTCACAGGAAAGCTGGGTTGCTCTTCTGCATGTTTTTGGTTTCCTTCATGTTTTTTTAAGCAGGTTCCACCTTTGGMCACCTGTGGCTAGAGAGCCTGCCCATCCCAGGAGCCCTCCACATTCCAAAAACCAGGACTGATGTACCTGGGTGATCAAACAGTGCCTCTCAAAAGAAAGGGCCGTGTCAAGCGGTGACTTACAGCAAAATTCAACTTTTGTAACTCTAGAGCAAAACCAGAGRGGCAAGCCAACACTTGACTTTTTCCTTCTGAGAAATTATATCACCCCGCTGCCGG